GTCATGTGGTAATACAGGAAGTGCTCCACTGTGTTTTTAAACTGCACACACCTTCACTAGAATCATTTAGGCTGCGTTCAGACTGCAGCCTGAAGTGACCCAAATCAGATTTTTTGACTTCTATGTTCCTGTATCTGATCTTTTAATGACAGTCTGAACCACACAGATCTGATTTTTTCAAATGTGACCCAGGACACTTGGATATGTGCTCCTAAAACCGATACATATCTGATCTTTTGACATGTGACTTCAGTCTGAACGGCCAAAGTGCATTCATCCACCTACACGTTATCAACAAGCCACAAACGTCACTATTCTGTGATGAAGTAGGCGAAAATTGTTAAAGGTTGTATGGAGGATTTTTTTTTGTTTCAAATAGTCAATGATAGATTATAGAGATGCAGTAGCCTTGTAATTATGATGACTAAAAAAAAAGAGAATAAAAATTCATCAACTCTGGACATGGTGGGGCTAAACATTTGCCAATAGATAACGACACTGCCTCGTTATCTGTGAGCTGACAGGCTGTCAATCAATCTCCCTACGTTTCTAGTGTAACTGACTTGCCTGCGCCGCCGGTACGTGGTTTATGTACGACTGTCACACAGTCCACAGACGCAAGACGCACAGACGCTGTTTACTTAACCAACGCAACAGTTCTTAGCGGCTTTTTTTGACCTATATCTTCCTCGCAGTTCGCACAAAGTTTGTTGCGATGGCGACAAGAATCCAGGAGCAGTTAGCCGCAAAAGAAAGTCCGTTTTTGAGGTCACTGAAAGAAGAAGACAAGGGGAAAAGCAGCGAAGCCAAACTAAGGTGATTCTTGAAGATTCATTCCAGCGATGGCGCGACTGAAGCAGACGCAGGGTCTAAAGACTGACGCATTGGTCGCCAAATTACTCCTGGACAGGTCACTTCTGCTTATTATGAAAACGTACTTTATTTCCAAGAGCTAGACAAACGTTTTTCAGGACACGAAAGCGATATCCTATGTCTGAAAACGTAATTTTCAGTGCAAAGAAAGAGTCCGCTTGCTGCTGCGTGTTGTAGCTAGTTCATTCGCACTGAATCTCCGCGCAAACCTTCTCTGCTCCCCTTTCCTGCTCCTGTCCCCGCTGCCCGTTCCGCTCTTCCCCCTGCTCCTCACTTCTCTGGGCACGGAATCTCCGCGCACCGCTCCCCTCTCCTCTCCCCTCTCCCCTCTCCTCTCCCTCTCCTCTCCCTGCTCCGCTCTTCTCCCTGCTCCTCGCTTCTTGTCTGCGCACGAAATGTCCGCACACCCGCTCCCCCCGCTCCTCACTTCTCCGTCTTGCCTAACCAACACTGTAGTTAGTTGTTTACAAGTCATGTGCAGCACCGGCTGTAAACAAACCTGTTTCTGGCGTAAAGAGGAGGCGGGAGGAGGCGGGAGGAGGCGGGAGGAGGCGTTTCTACGTAGGAGCTGTGGGGGAGGGGGGGGTGGTTTCACGCATGCGCAACATTTGAAAAAGGACAAACAGTCGCTGGATTTCTCGTTCCTTGGAAAATCCTCTATACAACCTTTAATGAACTCTGTGTCACTGGAGTGAAGCACATCACCACTCACCACTCTTGGCTACGTCTCCACATCCACACGTTCCTTTCAGTGGACTGTCCCACAAAACACCACGGCCAAAAACCTCGTCCTTCTCCTTCTCAATCTCCTCCTTAAAACAAGTAAGTTGTTCATGTTCTGGCTCCGGTACAAGAGGAACTTTAAAATCTCCAGATGCTCAATGCTGCGTCCATGTTTGGACAACTTCTGTAAACACAGAGCACGCTCGCTGTGGTTGACGTCGTCATGTCTCCAGTGTCACATGCGCGACACTTTCGGGCCGTTTACTGTTCACACTGGAGTCACATACAAGTCACATTTAATTGAAAATGTGAACGACCTCACAAAAACATCGAATTTCACAAAAAAATCGGAACTGAGCGTTAAGCCCTGCAGTCTGAATGTAGCCTTAGAGTAGGGATGTCCAAACTTTTTTTCATCAATGGCCACATATTTAAACACAGATGAAGCAGAGGGCTGTTTGAGGGCCGTAGACTGGAGCTCAGTGAATAATTGAAATATGTGTAGGTTTAACATGTTAGAATGAACTGTCAGTCTTTATTCATGTGAAGATCCTCAAAACCACACACTAAATATGAAATATCAGCTTTATCAAGGTAGATTTTCTAAAAACTTGTAGTGAAAAGTAAGTTTTTAATTGATGCAAGGTAATTTGGGCCAAGTCACCTGGAAGCCTGAGGGCCAAGAAAAAATTGTCTGAGGGCCACATAGTTTGGACATGCCTGATTTAGATCCTTTCAGCCCTGGAATTGTTGATCTCTACTGAATTAAAAGTAAAAGGTGACTTGAAAAACTTAAACTACCACTAGGTGACATCACAAGGTGGAACAGAGCATTTTGAGCTTTGCAAAGTAATAATAAAGAGTTACTCAAACATGTGTGAATGAATCAAAACACAACTCCAGCTCTGTTTCTGAGGAGGGAACAACATTATAACATGACTTAAAGCTCAGAGTCAGTTTAGTGTCATTTAGAAACTTTAAGCCTCTGTCAGTGCAGGTTCAGTTCTGATTGTAATATTATTTTAAATCTGTAGGAGCGCAGGATACATACAGTTTAATTTTTTTTTTTCTTTTAAAAATTTTTTGATTAATTTTTATTTCTAGTTTGTGCCAAGAGAGAAACAATAATCATACACACACTACATCTACATCATAAACAACAGAAAAGCACATTTCTCGAAAAGGAGCCCGAAGAAGAAAATAAAAACTTATATTAACCTGCCCCTGTTCATGGCAGTTTTCAAAAATTCTAAAATGTTGTGTTTCCTGTAGATGATGAATCTTAACAACTATTTACATATAGCAAAATAAATGGCATACTGTGCATACGAAATATAATTTTAACCCAATTTTTTATTTTTTTTTGTATTGTACTTATAGTCGTTCATACTAATAATAATGATAATGAAGGCACAGAAGTTTATCTTTTATGATTGTATCAAAATAAACAAAATGAGAATGAAGAATGTCAGGATTTTTATTTTTTTTTGTTTGTTTGTTTATGGTCGTACAAATTAATAATGTTGTCAACAGCGCACAAAAGTTTATCGTTTATGATGGTACAAAACAGTTTATTATATTCTTGTAGGTTCCCTCTGGCCTTTCCTCGGTCCCTCCTTCTTTAGTCCAGACTGAGTCCTCACTTTGGGGCAGAGGTGTTGGATCTGCCCCCTCTGGAATGGAGCTCTTCCTGTTTACTTCGCGCCCCCCCCCCCCCCCCCCCCCCCAAAGTGTTTAAAGGGGAACCTGTTTGTTTTCATGGCGACGTTATTGTTTTGCCTGGAATGTTCCATGATATGACATTAATCAGATCCATCTAGCATTTATTCATTACAGGTGTTTCTATTGCTCAAAAATACAATCATTCCTTCTGTGAAAAGGATTGCCTCTCCACAGATCTGACCTGTAATGTAGCCTGTAACCTGCTTGGCTCCCTCGTAACAGATAGGTTTAATCTATTGTTACGACTCAGAAAAATTGAGTCCCAACATATTTATAAAAGGACACGGAAACCAAATTAAAGTTTAGAGTTTTTATTTTTCCTTTGTGTAAAGATGTTTTAAACCCCGTGCCCAAACCAACAAAGTAACAACAGAAAGGTGGACCTGATGAGCCGGAACAAAAAGAACAAAAGGGTGCGACACCGGGCCAACCCTATACAGGGCCGTAGGAGCCGGTGCCAGCACCCGTAACTAAAGACCAAAAAAAAACCCAACAACCAAAACCCAACAGAAAAGCGAAAACAGGACAGCCGGTCCCACCAGGTCAAACAAAAGGCTTACGACTATCAAAAGCTCCCCAAACGATGGAGCAGGGGAGCCAGCAGGCGACTCCCAGCGCGAGGCGTGAGCGCTCCTGTACCTGCAGCGACGGCGGCGGACGAGGAGGAGGAGAGAGAGAGAGAGAGCGAGGCGGCGCCGGGCTCACGCATTTAAGGCCTCCTGCCGGAAATGAGTACAAAAAAACTACAAAAACATAATCAACTTACAAGAACAAAACTAGGCAGAAATGCTACAAAAATATAAACAATAAAAAGAAAGTAGGGAAAAACCAAAAAGTGCCTAAACGTAACATTTATACTGTGGAACATTCTAGACAAAACCAAATGCCATCTCCATGGAGACAAGCAGGTGTCGGACCCTCCACTAGAAATATTTCACAGTGCACTTTTAATAAGTTCTTCATGCCGTCTGTGCTGAACATAGAACTGTAACCAAGTCTTTGTTGAACCCAAAATGCGTCGTGTTGTTTTTAGTTTTCTGTGCTCATTGGCTCATGGGTCCAAAAATGATTTTCTCGTCTCTATTTACTTCCTCAGTCCGGGTGAACTCCTCCCACCTGTGTGACGTCTGTAATGTGCACGCTGTGGAGCGTTTGGACCAATCAGAGCGAGAGCTGCTAGAGCAGAGTGAGGCTCAGTCTGACGATCACTTTTAGGAGTTTTGAGGATTTAAATATTTTAAAAAGTTTATGTTGTGAAAATAGAAAAGAATCCTGCAAAATCCGACCTTTGTGAAAGCCAGGAGCCCTGTCAGAGCACGGGCAGTTTGAATTCCCAAAATGCATTGCGCTCTGTGGGAGAATTCTGTCTGGGCCCAAATTCCTAGAGCTGCAGTACCTGGAGCGGCCACTAGTCTGTCTGGAGCCAGGACAGAGGGGAGGGGCTTATCCAGTTTTTATTATAGATCCATTGTACTGAAACGGAGCAAAGCATCATGGTCTCTGTAGTTTTGTTTTTAGCTATTGCTGCACCATAACAATGAATTTCAGAAAAGCGACTCGATATATTGTGACAGCTCGCAATATTATTGAGATTTTGCCAATACGATATCACGATATTTTGGTTATTGTTACGTTGCTGTTTTTGACTGACGATGTAAATGTTGCTTTTGTGTGTTTGACAGAAGAGGAAGAGGAGAGGGAGAGACGACAGTGACGTGGTCAGCCTCTGCAGCTTCCAGTTCAAGGTAAAACTCTCAGTGATGTCATTGAGCTGAAAGAGCCTCTGGTCTGATTAAAGGAGCACTGTGGAACATTTCTGGTGGAGGATCTGACACTTGCTTGTAGTGTTGTTCACACTGGAGTCACATACAAGTCGCATTTAATTGGAAATGTGAACGACCTCGCAAAAACATCGGATTTCACACAAAAATCTGAATTGAGCATTAAGCCCTGCAGTCTGAACGTAGAATAATAGACCGAAAAATACAGTATATCTGTTACTTTTGAGAGTCCTGCTTGCTTGTCTTCTGTTGCTGAAATGTTCCACTGTAAGTATTAATCTTTCTTCATGGAGACAAACAATCAGACAAGAGTTTTGGTTAAGCTAAAAAAAAATGAATAAAAACTAAACATAAAGTGGGCGGCAGTGGCTCAGTTGGCAGAACGTTTGTCCACTGATCTGAAGGTTGGCGGTTCAAATCCTGCTCTCCACATAAACATCACTGGATGAGGTTGGCGGTGCGATTCTAGCTCCCACAGATGAATGCTGTTTTTGTGGCATTGGGCAAGACACTTAACCCACCTCGCACCCGGTGTTTTCTGCATACACTGGTGTGTGAATGTGTGTGAATGTGTGTGAATGTGTGTGAATGTGTGTGAATGTGTGTGAATGGTTCTTTGTTGTAACGCCGAAGGTGGAAAAGCTCTGGAAGCATGCTAACTGTGCACTTCCAGATTCATTCATTAGATGTAAAAACCTCTTCGGGCATGTTTCTGATGAGGCAACAAGGTTATGCAATTTTTTTTTTTTTGGCACTTTCTACGATGGTGTAACATTTCCTCTTGAAGCGAACAATAGAAGGCATTGTCAAAGCTCCGTCTTCAGGTCGACGAGATCCAATTATGAGCTATTATGTACAAAGTGAAAAACATAATTATAAAAGTGAGTGGGAGAGCAGGTTTAATAACTGTAATCAAAAGGCATAATGCCATGTGAGCTCATCTCTTAAATATGGGTCATGCAATGGAAAGTGCATTTGCATAAACCAGACTTACAATTATCAGTCCTTGTTTTAAAATTGATAATGAGTCCGAGTTCGTCCTGGTGTTTGTGGAAAATTAATGACCTAAGACGTGTGTGTCTGATCCTTCAGCTACATTTATTTGTGGTGTTGTCAGAGTTTTTTCAGTTTTTTTGTTTTAATGCATGTCCTTTTTTATTATTTCATGCACCAAAACGCCAAAGCAAATCTCTAGTTTTCTGTATTTTCTTCACTGACAATGGCAATAAAACATAAATATTTAGGAGACCAGTATAGAATATAGACCAATGTTAAGATTTAAATGTCCTAAACATTAAATAATGATCCATGGGTTTCATTAATTACAAACTTAAAGCTGCACTATGTAACTTTTCTGGTTGAAGGGTCCGTCACCTGCACAGTGAAAGACTTTGCGAACTCACCAACATGATACCAGAAAACAACTTCTAAAGGGCAAAAAAAAAGCCGAAACTAAAATGTACAAGTTTCAGCATAAGACGCAAAGGCCTGAAGATTTGGAAGGACATTGACTTTATCTCAAAAATGTTTTAAAAATGTATGAAAAATACATTATTATTACTAGAGTCGTAGTACTTGAGTCTTTTGCAGTCTTGGTCTTGTCTCGGACTCAACCAAGTTTGGACACGGTCTTCTCTCGGTCTTGAAGGAGCTTGGACTTGGTCTTGTCTTGGTCTTTAAGGAGCTTTGATTCAGTCTTGGACTCGGTCTTGTCTTGGTCTTGAAGGCCCTTGGACTCGGTCTTGTCTTGGTCTTGAAGGCCCTTGGACTCGGTCTTGTCTTGGTCTTGAAGCACTTGGACACGGTCTCGGTCTTGAAGGGGCTTAGACTCGGTCTTTAAGGAGCTTGGACTCGGTCTTGTCTCGGTCTTTAAGGAGCTTGGACTCGGTCTTGTCTCGGTCTTTAAGGAGCTTGGACTCGGTCTTGTCTCGGTCTTTAAGGAGCTTGGACTTGTCTCGGTCTTTAAGGAGCTTGGACTCGGTCTTGTCTCGGTCTTTAAGGAGCTTGGACTCGGTCTTGTCTCGGTCTTTAAGGAGCTTGGACTCGGTCTTGTCTCGGTCTTTAAGGAGCTTGGACTCGGTCTTGGTCTTGAAGGCTCTTGGACTCAGTCTTGTCTCAGTCTCAAGGTCTGACACTCGAGTGATGAAATGGAAATAGATTTATAAAAATATTTATATATAAAGGTGCCAAAATAACTGTAAAATACAAATAAATGTCAAAAATGACAAAGATGGTCTTGATTTGGTCTCGATGGGCCCTGGTCTTGGTCTTGTCTCGATCTCGACTCTCAGAGGTCTTGGTCTTGTCCTGGTCTCTGGACCCTGTGGTCTCGGACTGGTCTTGGTCTTGTTTAGTGCCGGTCTTGACTACAACATTAGTTCTTCGATGTTACTCGGTCATAAGCCCAGAGGCTGTATAGACAGAATAAGTTATCACTAGAATAATCCTGTACAAATATGTATGTAATCAAACTGTTGTGTTTCAAAAATTGCAGTGTGTTATTAAATGTGTGGCTGTGGTAAATGGTTTCTATGGAGATGTCATTGCTCTGCCTGGAATGTTCCACAGTGTGACATTAAACAGCTCGACTTTACATTTATTCAATTACAGGTGGTTTAAAGCTCCAAAAAAAAACAAAACAAAAACAGGCATCCTGAGTGTGAGCAGGGCCACATCTCCACAGATCTGACCTGTAACTCGGTCTGGTTTGGTCTCCATGAAAATAGAATATTGTGAAACATTCCAGACAAAACAATAACATCTCTATGGAAAAAAAAATAAAAATTACACAATGCACGTTTAGTGTATATAAATGTATTTATTTTTTATTATCTTTTTTCACAGTATTTGTTTATCTGTATTCATATCTCAATGTTCAAACTTTATTATCATAACAGAAATGAATAAAATATTAAAGAATAGAATGTTTTCCATAAAAGAAACCCTGACCCTGCAGACTCCCACTGTGTTTCAGACAGACTTTATTGACGTGAGGCAGGTTTGTTTGTACAGCACAGCTGGTCACACAAAGAAACTCAAAGTGCTTTACAGACTAAGAAACACAAACAAAGCAATACACAAATAATCATGATCAAATTAATTGTTCTATATTACGCAAAATGGAATATTGTGAGCTTTAAGTCACATTCTAATGCTGTTACCTGCTCAAAAACAGACCTGGACTTGTGTTTTGTTTCAGTGGCCACATTTACATGTGTTTTAATTCCAAATGAAATGTTCTGAATTAAATAATTCTAAATTAAAATATTCTCCTTTGAGTTAAAAAAAAAAAAAAAAAAAAGTTGGACTTTTTAAAGCGGAATTCGTTTTTATTCAGAATTAAATCTCTCATGGAAACATGTCAAATCACACACATTCGAGGGTCACTCTGTTATTAGTCTGTCTGGGGGGTTCACGTCTACGTGTGAAAAAAAATCTAATACATTTGCAGATGGGAGCTTTAACCTTACAATGGAATAGGATTAAACTTATTTATCTCACGGGCGACAAGCAGGTGACAGCACTACATTATGCTACATTACAGGTCAGATCTGTGGAGAGGTGTCCCATAATGAACAAATGGGCCTGGTCAAGCAGAAGTAAACATCAAGGCCAAAAGTTCAAGTTAATACATCTGATATAAAAATGTATTGAACAGATACATATGTACTCTAGTTTATGAAACTGTTGACCTTTTTTCTGTACCAATTTTGGTTCTAAAGTTCCATATGTTTTAAACAGACCATGTATGAAACATGGAACAAAAATTATTTCCCAAATTTCAAAGACCTGAAAATCATGTCAATAAATGGATGTATTTCATCATATCTTGTGTTATTCCATCTTTGAACTGTTGATGAAGGGACATGATTTTTTTATTTTTTTTTTATGTATTTAAAATGATAAAAATTTGCTTGGAAGGACTGACATATTTTATAGAAATAGTTTCCTTTCATTTTGAAGTAATATTAAAGTATTCAGAAGAAAAAAGCGACAAATGATGTAAAATCCTGCACCTTCTACTTGTTTGTACAATTTTCCCTCCGTTACTTGTCCCTCCGTTACCATGACTTTTCTTAATAAAAAATCTCATGAGTCAAAAAGTAAGAGGTTTTTCAACCTAATCTTGTACCATATGGTAGAAAACTATATGAAGCAAATATTCAAACCAGTTTGTTAAGGATATGGAAGTGAGAACCAAGAGTTATCACTGTTTGGATTTATTGCCCAAAAAGTGCTGCATATTTCATTCCCTCCGTTACCAACATGAGTTTTAAAATTTTTTGTCAACAACTTGAAAGAATATCACAGGTTTAACTTGACCCTGTTGGAGTGTAACTCTTTCCTACATTCTGATACTTTACTTATTTCAATAGTCCCTCTAGTTTCTGAATAAGAGACATTTGAATGTCAAAAATCTGCCCCTGTTTCCCTCCGTTACCACTTGACCGGACCCAAATGCTTGATGGACATGTTTAAAGTCATAGGGAAAGTGTAAACATCGCCATGGAGACGAGCAGGTAGACGACCCTCCACCAGAAAAGTTGCGTAATGCACTTTTAGTAATAACATTCAGTTCAAGGTTTTTATTGTAAACCAGAAGAATTGACCTAAAGACTGAAATAACCAATGCAAGACTAACATTTCAAAACATCTGTTTCTACGCAGGACAAAACTGGAGATTTTTTTGTTCATGATAGAAATAATGGCACATTAGAAACTGCAGCCTTTGCGATTGGCTGACTTAAACGGTTATTTCAGTTTGTGCGCGGGTAAAGCTGCATGCAGAGTGCAGAGGAAAGTGTGAATATGTGGACAGAGCAGATGTCTTTTCTCTCAACTGGATGTAACAAAGGTTTGTTTTTCGGCTCGTCTGGCTGTTGTGACGCTTGAGCCGATCAGATTCAAATATTCATCATGATGTTCCACACTGCAAAAACTCAAATCTAGACAAAATAACTTGA